CTCCCAGCCTCCCCCTTGCAGCATTTCAAGTCTGGTCTAAATGAGTGGAGAGGGGGGGCATTCTTGAAACTACAGGCAGTGGGTTGGAGGTGAGAGGATGTTAGAAGGAGCAAGTTTGTGGTCTCTCCAGCTTTGCCATGAAGATTCTGGCTGGAAAGATAAATAACTGGTAAAACTTACTATTATTATTTTTTTTTTAATGGGGAGTGTGTACCCTTAGGTGAGCATCATAAATGCTCTATACTAAGACCCTGGGGGCAAGAAGATGGGAAAACTGTGGGGAGAAAACCACCTATAAGTGAGAAGCCCACAGCCTCTGGGTAGCGATCTCTGGCTGCTGGTCTCTCCCCCTTCCCTCAGTGTGGTTCCTGAAGATGATTTCCAGACTCCAGTCTTTTACCACCTTCATGGACTTCACAATACCTGAGTATTGTGACACCTCCTCTATCATCCTGAAATCGACTTTACAGAGACTCATTAAAAACAATAAGCAAAAAAAAAAAAACAGCCCACATTTTGTCTTAAATTGTAGTCCCTGAGGTTTAATAACCTAATTCAATTTTTTTTTTGTAATAGAAATTAAAATCTATGACAATTCAGATGGGAAACTCTCATCTGTATACCACCTACAGTCTCCTCTCCTGCCACCAGGATGCCAACTTGTGCATGGAGAAACAGTGATTGGGTTCTGGAATAAAGGAGACCGGTGTTGAGCCCAGACTCTGAAAGTGGCCAGCAGTGTAGCCTTGTACAAATGGCTTAAACTCTTCCAAGCTACAGTTGCTTCTTGAGTAAAGTTGGGATAGTTAAGAAGTTGTAAAGCAGAAACAAAATAATAGAAGTGGAAGTACCTTGTAAAATGCTTGGGCTATTCCTTTTATCAGTAACTTCCTTGCTCCTGGGGAAGGTGGGGCCTGGTATCCTGCCTCCTCTGGGCTAGAACTAGTGGAAAAACATTCCTAAAACGTACAGACTTCAGAGCAAGAGCAGTGCCCAAGGTTTTACCAGCGCTCGCACATGACCTGCGGTGGGACTTTGGGGCAGTCACTCCTAACCCCACCCCCACCCCACCCCGAACACACACACACACCTTCCCTGCCCCAAAGCTCCGTTTCCTGTTTAAAGTGGGAAGAGTTATGGCAGTGCTTCTCAAACTTGATTGTGCATAAGATCACCTGTTGTTCAGTCGCCTGGGAGCCTATTGAAAAGCAAATTCTCCTCCTAGGACTGGAGATTCTTCATTTCCAACCAGCTCCCAGGTGATACTGATGCTGCCGGCCACAGCCCACACTTGGAATATCAAGGAGTTACTGTACTTAACTCCTAGAGGTTGTGAAAGGCTCAAATTAGACAATACACCCTAAACATTTAGCCCAGTGCTTCCTTTAGGGACTTATGCAATAGATGTCAATATTATAGTGATTGGTGTATAAGGCGGGGAGTTCCCCAGATAGAGCAGAAAAAAAATGAAAGTGAAAGTCGCTCAGTCGTGTCTGACTCTTTGCAACCCCATGGACTGTAGCCCTCCAGGCTCCTCTGTCTATGGAATTCTCCAGGCAAGAATACTGGAGTGGGTAGTCATTCCCTTCTCCAGAGGATCTTTTTGACCCAGGGATCGAGCCCGTGTCTCTGTCATCGCAGGCAGATTCTTTACCGTCTGATCCAAAGGAGAAGCCCAGATAGGGCAGAGGATGATGAGAGTTCTTTTAACTGTGGGTTTGAAAAAAGTAAGCCCTAGTTTTATGACCTCTGCCATAGCTGTGTGAGGTGAGTTTGGCCAGATCTCTTGACATTTCTGAGCCTCCAAATACCCCTCTGCAAAGGGTGACTGAATTAGATGGTGTCTAAGAATTCTCTCAGATTTAAGTCCAAACTTGAGGCCAGTAATCTCTGCACACCCCCACCACTAAAGGACACATAACAGGCTTGACCTTGGCCATAACCTTGAGCCACATGTGTCGCAGGGATGGGTCTGCTCTGAGCCTGCCTTGATTGCAGGGAGGATGAATAACTGGAGAGCCCAGCTTGGCATTCCTTGAGCTCTGAGTGACATCACCCCGGAAGCCTCTGTTCCTTGGGCCTCATGCAAGGTGTTGCCTGCTTGGCAGGGGGAGCGGGGCGGGGGGCGATGATTTGCAGCCTGAACGGGAGCAGGCTTGCTGCGTGCTCAGAAAATGGATATAAAAGGAGGCATTTCAACATTCCATCCCACTGCTTCACTGCACTGGAGGCGAAGGTAATTCACGAGCAAGCTCCTTGCAAGCATATATCACATGCAGCAGACTCCAGCCCTTCTTCATATCCCTCCAGACTCCAGGCTGGAAACCAGGGGGCCAGAACCTACAAGAAACTTGCCCCTCAGTGGAAGAAATGGGCATCCAGCAACCTAGTTCCTAAATGAGAAGAACAGAGATGCTTGAGTTCCAAGGCTGTAAGCAGCCTGCCAGTGCAACCCCTTTATTAACCCATGAGTCCGCATTAAGCCCTCACCATGAGCAAACATTTATTGAGTACCTGCTAAGCATGTTCACATGAATAACCAATTTAACCTCATTGCATCCCAGTGAAGAAAGCCTGATGCAGATAGGGGCATCCAGGTTCAGAGAGGTTAAGTAACTCGGTCAGGGCCACACAGCAAGACATCCAACAAGTTTCCACCTTGGGCAGAGCCCAGGTTAACTTGACACCCTCCCTTCCTCTGTTATGAACTTGTATCAGAAGCCCCGACCTTCATGGTTACTCTTGATTATTGACATTTTCTTTTCTCCCCTTGATCGACAAGCCAGCTCTTAAGGACCCTGTAGCCATAGTGCCCAGCCTGACCCACAGCTGACCCTAGTAAGACATTTTTACTCAGTGAATACTTGAAATGGGAACTCAGGTCCTGGCACTGTAGGGCTCATTCTGGGGCTGAGAGGGGAAGGAAGAAGAGCCCAGGACTTTATTACTGACCTCAGGGGCTTATTGTCTGGTTGTTATGGACCCAAATCCAAATCTTGAAAGGGAAAGAGGGTCCTTGAATCAGACTAGGTTTGATTACAGATTCAAGGGGCTGGTAAATCCAGAGGGCCAGCCATCAGGGTGGGTCAGGGAGAAGGGGGAAGTGAAAACTGAGACCATGGAGGATTTACACAGGCAGAGTTGAAAAGGCTCCGCCACTGCAGAAGGAACAAGAGACGAGGAGGCAGGAATGGCAGGTGGAGGCAGCCAGGTGTCCTCTCCAGGGAGAAGGAGGCCATCCCAGTCGGGGGCAGGAAGACTTTGGGAACAGTAAGGAGGTTAGGTCTAGGAAATAACGCCTGCTTTGTGCAGTCAGGTCCTGTGCCTATAAAGTCTAAAAATGGTGATCACCCTTTGACCTAGTGATTCCACTTCTGGGAAATGATCTTAACTAAAATCTCCAAAATACGGGGGAGGTTAAGCTATATTCACAACAGTGTTCATCACAGAGCTATTTATACGAAGGTAAAAATGGAAGCAGCCAAGACATTTCTCATAAGAAAATAGTGAAGAAATCCAGAGACTAGTGAAGAAATCGGCATATCCAACAGCCATTACATGGGATGTTTTCAAAGATTCTGAACATTCAAAATCAATTATGTTACAATGTTGAGGGAAATGGCCCATTACAAATAATAACAGTGGCTGCGTTTATTGAGTGCTGTTTCCTAGGCACTCAAGCTTTCCATATTTGGCCTCATTTAATCAATACAACCACTCCAGGGGGGTGGAATGACTTTCATGGAACAGTTTTGCGCCATGAGGCTCTCTCAGGGAGAGGCTGGGATTGGAGCTGTGGTCACACTTGAGTGTGTGCTGACCACCGCCTGATGTAACATGACCGCCTCTAGCCAGGAGATCTGACAGCAATATATCAAATATTAACAATGGTTCTTTTTTGGGGGTGGGAGGTCTTGGGGGGTGGTGATTCCTCCCTACTTTTCTGTATTTTCCAAATTTTTCCTTATGTAGGTATGATACGCTTTTTGTATCTTTTCCATATTTTCAGTTACTCATTTTGTTTATCAGGGCTTCCCCAGTGACTCAGAGGTAAAAAATTCACCTGCAATGCAGGAGACTCTGGGTCGGGAAGATACCCTGGAATAGGAAATGGCAACCCACTCCAGTATTCTCGCCTGGCAAATCCCACGGACAGAGGGGTCTGGTGAGTAACAGTCCAGGGGGCTCTCAAGAGTCAGACACGACTTGGCTACTAAGCAACAATTCTGCTTATCATTTTGCAACTTTTTTTTTTTTTCCATTTACCAGTAGGTCTCAGGGATCTTAACATCTTTCAGATGTCCTTTATTCTTTTGTGGGGAGGGGAGGGGGCTTAGAACATTCCATGGTACAAATTTGGCACACTTTTTTTTAATCTGTATGTCCTATTGAGGATCATCCTAATCTAGACCCTTCTGGACAGAGGGTGTTTTGTTTGTTTTTAGCAGAAAAGAATAAACTAGGGGTAAAGTACTTCTAGGTGGCTCTGGCAGATTGGATTTAGAGGGATTTAATTAGGGGTTCCAGATTCGAGGACAATCCCTGTTGGTAAAAATGACTGGCTGGGGTGAGCAGTTCTATTTGAAGGATGAGTTTCTCTGCAGTCTTTGGTTTCCAGTAATAATATCCCGACACTTACCCTCCGGGCAGTTCTATCAGCTGACCCCCGCCTTGGCAGAAGTAGGGCTTGTCTCTCTGGAGGAAGTTATAGATTAGGATCCCTCCTGCCCTGGATTCATATTGACATGCAGCTTCATTCTGTTTGGCTGTGGGCAAATCCTCTTCAGGAAGTCAGTTATTCCAATGCCTCTGGGCTACCAGGATGTAGGACTGACTCCACTCCATTCACTTCCACCAACTTCCCTGGAGGTCTTTTATAACAAATAGAGTTTGAAAAACCGGAACCTCAGCCAGTTCCTTACACCTGCTGTGTGGCCGGCAGCCAACTGCGTTAGGGCTCTGGGCTGTGTGCTTCATTTACATGAAATCAGGGCCCAGAGTTTCAATCAGCTCCAACCTTCTCTAGCGATTCTCTGAGACCTTAGGGAGAAAAACACAGGGCTGACTCTGACTAGCTGTGTGATCCTGGGTAAGTGAACAACTTCTCTGAGTATCAGTTTCTCATTTGTCAGGTGGGGGCAGTGAGACCTACATGATAGTGTTGTGCCGATTAAATGAACTACTGTCATGGGTTTGGCATCTAGCACAGTGACTATGCCTGGAAACTCAGCAATGAGTTATGGGCATAATCCTTAAGAATCCTAAGAAGGCAAGCCTTCTGGCTCCCTTTAGCCCAGCCTGCACTGAGATTACCTAGGACTGTCCAGGAGAGCTTATCTTTGAGTTCCTCTGATTCAGGGCTGGTGGTTTAATTGCTAAGTTGTGTCCGACTCTTCTGTGACCCCACGGACTGTAGCCCACCAGGCTCCCCTCTCCATGGGATTTCCGAGGTAAGAATACTGAAGGGGGTTGCCATTTCCATTTCCAGGGGAGCTTTCTGACCCAGGGATCGAACCCCACTCCCCTGCATTGCAATCAGATTCTTTACTGACTGAGCTACCAAGGAATGGGAGGGAAGCCTATTCATTTCTCAGTCAATGGGATGGTACCCTGAACTAACTAAGCTAAAAAGCAAGAACTAAACAAATAAGCTCCCACTGCTAAAGGCAGTTCCTAAAGCTGTAAGAGTCCAAACACATCCAGCTGCTGTCTGGCCAGCATCCTGTATATCTCCTTACTATAGCCATAGATTTGTCTTCATCACATCACTCCATCCTTAGCCCCTGCAGCCAGAACATCGACCTAAAGCTTCTAAGAGTGGAGGCATCACTTAGTGAAGATCTGGTCCAAAATGTATTGTAATATTAGAGAGTGAAAGAATTAAGTGAAATGAAAGCTTTGGGACAACTATTGTAAGAAAAGAAAAAGCCCACGTACATACTGCTGGTATAAGAAGTTCCCTAGTATAAAAGCATTACCAGCTAACAGCAGCCTCTTTGAGGGGGTTGGGGGACGCTCTTCTTCTTTACTTTTTTTAAAATGTATTTAAAAAATTGTTTTGGCTGTGCTGCACTGCATGCTGGGTCTTAGCTCCCTGAGCAGCAATCGAACCCATGCTCCCTGCCATGGAAGCATGTAGTCTTAACCACTTTATTGTTTGACTTTCTGAAAACGAACACGTCTTTTGAGAAAGGCAGTTATTGCAGCAGTGGGGAATGAGGGATATGTTGGAATCAGACCATCTGGTTTGCCTTCAAACTCAGATATGTGTCTGTGGATCAGACAGAAGCTCTTGTAGCATATATGTAAAGGTGAGACAAGAGCAATAACACAACCAACGTCACGGGAGTGTTGAGAGGGTTAAACCAGGAGATGCACATGCTTAGCACCATGCCTGGCATTCAGCAAACACTCAGGGAAGGTCAGCTGTTATTATTACTTGTATAACCAAAAACAACACACATGTAAATGTTTATATATGTAAACATAGGACAGGGGTATTCTGAGGCGGCCCCTTTCTTCCTATGATACACTCAGCCCATAGAAAGGAATGTGAGAGAGGAAGAAAGAATAGGGAATGACAGCCTGTTAACCGGCCAGCTCTGAAAGCCCCCCTGCCCCACGCAATGTTCTCACAAGAGGAGCAGTTAAAGAAAACACTGGCATGGGAGAGGGAGAAACGTTTAACAGGAGTCCAGCAAAACGATTACAGGCCACCCCCAACACTGCCCCAGGGGCGAGCTGGTGACCGGGCTGGAGAAGAGACACAGGTTTGTCCTGTCTCCTGAACTGGGAGCTTCTGGGGCAGGAAGGAAGTAGAGCTGTCCAACTCATTTGCTCGTTCAGTGAGTATTTACTGAGGGCTGGTGGTATGCCAGCCAGTAGTTCTAAGCCCAGGGATACAGCCTGGACAGAGAAGACCAAAGCAGAACAAAAGACCAAACAAACAAAAGCTCATCATCAGAGCGCTCACGCTGTAATGGAGATAGATAGACACGCAACAAAATTAGTAAGACCTGTAGCCTGTGGAGCCGCTGTAAATGCCATGGATAAAAATTGAACAAGGAAAGTGGTAGGGGTTCCTGGGAGAGTTACCCAGGAGGTAAATTATGGGAAGTGAGTGAGCTGGTGTTCTTGGGAGCTCAAGTCTCTGCAGATTTCTGAACCCCATCCTTATTCAGAGTCTCCTTGAGTCCCATCGGAGATAGCAAACCAGGCGTTTCTCTGATTGTCTGTGGAAGGCCCTGGCTTGGGGAAAACTGAAGGCCAGGTTAGGCACTCTGACTCTATGATGCTCCCAGGAGAAAGCCATCCACGTGCTGCTTTGAAAGGCGAAAACCAGGGGAGTCTGGTCTGAGCATGGTCACACTAAAGCAGTGGTTCTTGGCCTTGAGTGGCCTGAATGTCAGGGGTGAAGGGGGTGGGCGTGGTGAGGGTTGTTAAACTGTGGTGTTTGGATCCTACCACAGTCTCTAAGGTGGTCTGCTGGGGACCCCACCTGGAGAAACACAGGTGGGTGAATTATCTATGACCCAGACAGAAGTCTGGAATCTTAAAAATACTGAGATTTCCACCCAGTGAACCACCTACTTATTTTAATAATAATGGCTGCATTTTATTAAGCACTCACTGTGTGCAGGGCTCTCTGCTGAGCACTTCAGATTTATTATCTTCCTTTAAGCCTCACAACAACTTGGCGAAGGAGGTAAAATTCCCATAAGGACACTGAAGCACAGGCACAGTGGTTAGTGGCAGAAACGGGGCAAAGACCTAGGCTTGCCTGACGCTAAATTGAGTCCGGAAGTTGTTCCCTGCATGCATTGCTCCGAGGCTCCTCTCAACAGCTAGATTGCAAACTGCTTGGGGCAAAAGTTGGCTCTTAGGCTGCCTGCACTCCTCAGACAGAATTTTCTTGAATTAACCATGCTTTCCTTCTAGAAGCAGCTAAAAGAGCATCCTCTTACCTTTCTCCCCAGCTATTGAACCCCTAGCCCCTGTAATCGTGTCTCCTCCTCCCTCTGTCTAAGCAGAGCCCGTCTTCCCTGAGCTCCTGGGACTCAACTCTCTCTGCTTGGGGCCTTGTATTTGAGTTTTCAGCCTTCTCTTTCCTTCCCTTCGATGAGCTCCTCCTGGTCAGTGAGCTAGCTCCTGGCTGACTTTTCCCCATCTGGCTCCAATGAAATAGTACATAGTAGACTTGGTGAATTCAAGGGAGCTGGTTGATAGCATTCAGACTCTAGATTTCTGTGGCCATATACCAAGGACTGTCTTTTTTATTTTTTCTTTCCTAATTCACATTCATTTTTCATTTTTATTTATTTTAAAATTAAAGTACAGTTGATTTACAATATTATATTAGTTGCGGGAAATCAACTCTGAATATTCACTGGAAAAACTGAAGCTGAAGCTCCAGTACTTTGGCCACCTCATGTGAAGAGCTAACTCATTGGAAAAGACCCCGATGCTGGGAAAGATTGAGGGCAGGAGGAGAAGGGGACGACAGAGGATGAGGATGGTTGGATGGCATCACCAACTCGATGGACATGAGTTTGAGCAAGCTCCAGGAGACGGTGAAGGAGAGGGAAGCCTGGGTGCTGCAGTCCATGAGCTTGCAGAGAGTTGGAGATGACTGAGTAACTGAGCATGCATACACGCAGCAAAATAATTCAATCTGCCCACCTCAAAATTCTCAGCTTAATCCTATCTGCAAAGTCCTTTTGCCACATCAGCTTATACTTGCACAGGTTCTGTCATGAGGGGGACATTCCTCAGCTACCCCCACCAACATGAGCAACACTTGATTTTGTCTCCTAAACCTGCTCTTCATCTACTTTCCCCATTTAAGAATATGATACCCGCATTTACTAACCCAAAACCTGAGGTCCTCCTTGATTCCTCTTTCTCTTGTGCCCGACCCCCGCCACATTCACACATCCAAAATAGGTGTCTTTTCACAGAAACGCTTCCTCTTCTACCATACAAGAGATCTGGGTTCTATCCCTGATTTGGGAAGAGCCCCTGGAGAAGAGAATGGCTACCCACTTCAGTATTCTTGCCTGGAGAATCCCATGGACAGAGGAACCTGGTGGGCTACAGTCCATGGGGTTGCACAGAGTTGGACATGACTGAGCGACTAACACTTTCACTTTCACAGAAACATTTCCTGTTTTGCTGCCTCATCCAAGCCCCCTTTGTCCTTCACTTGGACTTTGGCAGTAGCCTCCTAACTGGTCTCTGTCTCCATTCTCTCCAGCCAGTAGTCCTTTCCCTAAGTAGCTGGTGATCTTTCACCTGCTTCAAAGCCTGCAGTAGCTTCCCATCTCAGAATTCAATCCATTCTCCTCACCTTGGTCTGCAAGGCCGCACATAATCTGGGAGTCTTCCAGACCATCTCTTGCTTTTCCCTCTTAGGTAGATGAGCTCAGACTACTTGAGAGTGTTTTCTACCCAAAACAGCAACAATGCCATCCATTAATTGACCTCCCCTCCTTTGTCTGAGTTACACATGTAATCCTCACAGCAACCCAAGAGAAGCAGTTGGGATTGGATTCCAGAACAAAGATTTCACTCAAAATAACATCACTATTAATAAATGTCCCTCTGCCCCTCCATCCTCATTTCCCCTACTCCCACCCTTTCCTGCAGACCCTGATCAAGGCGCTCTGAACTGTGGGAATTGTGCCTGATACACCACGTCCTTAGCATTGGCCACTGGGAGTAAGGCTCTACAGAGAAAATCCAAGTCTTCAACAGACTTATCTTAGGTGACTTCAATCACAAGGAAGGTGATGCTAGTGAAACCTTTCACAGGAAGTCCCCCTTGATTGCTTTAGTCCCCAGAGTTCTTACTTTTCTTTCCAACTTGCAGCTTATTTCATTTACTTCTGGGCAGGCCTTGCAGAGGTCATTATCACTTCACTTGTACATAGAATATAAACTCCTCAGAGGGAAGGGGTTTTTGTTTGGTTTTACACTGCTGCATCCTGAGCACCCACAAAAGGCCTGGCACAGGGTAGGCACAGAAGTATTGCTGTAGCTAAATCGCTTCAGTCATGTCCGACTCTGTGCGACCCCATAGAAGGCCGCCCA